TAACACGTTTATTTATTCTACACGACACGGTAACAAAAAATAATAACATAGTAGCAAAAGAATATCATATATACATTGGAATTTGCATAGAGAACTCGGTTTAGAAAGAACTTCGACGGGACAACGACCAATAAGAACATCGCTATTATCTGCCTTCCAGGAACCGAGTCCGACATTTCGATCGAAAAAAACCGGCAGTCGACGGCAACGGAGCGGTTGCCAGAAAAATCAGAGAAAACCGTCGGAATGGGCGCGCGATTTACGATTCATAACTTTCTTATAAACCCGATAACGGGCGTAATGGACGTCGAGTGCGCGTTTGTTGGGACCGGGCACTCGTTACATCCTCCTCGTTAAACCGAAAACTATACTTCCCGGCGCGGTTTCTACGGCAACCTGATTTATTTCTCTCAATTTCCAAAAGAAAGCTGCCAAAGAAAAACGCTCGCCGGCCAGCGTAAAAGTCGCGAACGGGCGGCATTGTCCCTCGTTAGACGCAGAGCGGAGAAGTCTCTTCGCGGAACGGGCCCGGGGGAGGAGTTCCGGGGAACGATAACGAATTTCTGGTCCCGTGACCAGGGTAACGATTTCCATAATTCGCGGATAATTCCATTGTCTCCGGGGACAGGGCCGTCCGCGATCGCGGTGACGAGGAAAGCCGGTTTCGCGTTTACGGTTCGGCAATCGGCCTCCATTCGCGACGTTGACGAGGACGCTCCGCGATCGGGACGAGCTGGAGCGCGATTAGCCGCGAGCAGACGCGCCGCTCGCGTCGAGATCGATTCTGGTGAAAGTATCGGACTCGCTTACGAGCCCGATCCGCCGGAGTCTATTATCACACTGATACCGGCTGCGAAATTATGCCACTAGGTGAGCCAAAACGACGAGCGTTTCCAGTATTTCCAGAAAATCGACTGGGTATCTGCGCAGATCGGCCAGTTGATCGTAACGAGTCTGTAACGCCGGACATAATTTGATAATCGGTTTTTAGGAACGAGATTGAAATGGACAAATGGTAATTTACGTACTATGTGTACGAGGAGTATCTCTATAAATTTATATTAATTGAGAGAGAATAATTTCTTCTTCGACGAGGTTCGATAAGATAAATCACGCCGGATAACGCGGTGATTAATCATTTTTACGGCGTCGTTTATTGAGACATAAATTCATGAGGCTGGTACTATTACTGTTATTTGAACAGATGAAAATGTGATTATTATCGACGCTGCACGTCCCCGGTGACGTATGAACGATCGAGCCGTGTTTGAATGGTCGATTCTGAGGTCTGTCACTTAGCGATTGAAAATCATCGCGAGGTGAAATTACTGTAATTTAAGAGCCAATGAATTAAACGTCTATGTAAAGAGGGACGCGGTAATCATCTAAATAGCAGAGTAATTACTTCGAATCTCGCTCGATTTAACTAGCTTTCGCGGGCAGGCCGCGATCGATACAGCGAACTGGAATTCCCGTGTGTACAAACGAGCATCGTGCCTTTCGTTTTCGGTTTCAATTGCATCCTCGGCGATCGGCGCGCAAGTAGGCCGCCGCGCGGACAGAATAGATAAATCTCGGTCGATTCGATTTTGTCGGGACCAAGGTGTTTTCGGGGGAATCGAAATTCCGCGGCGTTGAGCAACGTTGAACTGCGAGATCGGCGACAGTTCGGCGTCGGCAATGCTACTCTGGGTCGATTGTTCTTCCAGTTTTGAATAATTTATTGAAAAATTCAAGATAACCAACCCTCGCAACAATGTAAGAGATAATTCTTCTTATGAGAAACATTCTTCCACTTATTTTAACCCTTTGAACTCTGTAGGCTCCACTATTGCACCAAGAATAATATTAAATATTTTAATGAATCAAAGAAACTACCCTAAAATTATTAGATTCTCCACGCATCCAAATTTTGCATTGAGAAGGAAAATAAAAAGAAATGTTGCATTTCTAATTTTCGCTATGGATATTATAAAAATTAACTGCAATTACTGATATAAGGGTTAAGGGTTAAAATATCTCGTGCCACGAATATTGGAAACCTATTTTGTCTTCATTATTTCAGTACTGACTTCCAGTCACTACGAGAAACTCTTTGTTGGAACAATAGACACAGCTAGTCGCTTTCAAAATGTAGATTAGCTCGCGCTGCGCATACGATGTACGCGAAATGCTGGCGGTCTCATTTCCGAAGAAAACGTCGACCGATTTTCAGCGCGCGAACTTCCCTCTTTTTGCTGTCGCTTATACTACCGTCGGGTCATCGGAATCGATCATTAGCGTTATAATGGTAATCCAGCAACACATTCCGTTAGTGATCGTTAACATGGCGATGCGAGTTTCAAGAAGTGATTGCAGGCAGTTAGCAACACAAGCAAACACTTTGTGATATTAGAAACTTCTCCTGTATCTGCTGCATCGTTGATGTTCATTCCATTTTATTATCGATACCATCTTACATGTTCTACCAATTGCGTCGTTGATTGATCGAAGGAGTAAATACAGGGCGTCGCAACAAAATGTTACCACACTTTATTAGCTGGTAAAACATTGAACCGTATCTTACAAACGAAAAACAGTTCGTAAACACTGAAAGTAAATTGTATTTAATAAACACTTCATAAAGAATCAGAGTAACGTTTTCTTGCGACACCCTGTAGACACTATTGTAAACTGAGCAGTATTGCAACAACGTACGAGCCATTGAAAACGATAGTTTCCAGGTGATTAAACACCTCTCGAGCACGCGATTATCAGCATCGTTTCATAACCTCGTCGTTAACCGATATTATCGAATAATTTCCATAGATTTTCGTAATATGAATATCGATACATGAATTAAACATTAAACATTGATGTCGCTCCACTCAGTTTACTCGACAAAAATGTTGAAACGATAACCACAGATCGGAAAAACGTACCGAAAAATTCAGTGAGATGCAATTGAGAAATCAGCGGAGGTCGGTTATCCCCGATACATTTTTTATTATCATTCAACTGGGTCTGTGATTACAGCGAACTGGACCAGTCCTGCCGCCGTTTAGAAAGTTTGACGCGTAATCGTAACGCCGCCGCTGATCTCAGCAATCGAAAATGACCCTGTTAAAGCGTCGGCCGGCTGGTAACAAGGCCAAATCCGCGTCAATATTTACAAGGTGTAACGACAGGCCATTCCGTTGATCTTACGGGCGACTGATCATTACCATGTCGTCTTTGACTATGAATGAACACGCGGGGACAAAGGTCCCGCCGAGGTGTGGCGCGCTTTCACGATTAATTGGCCACGCGACGCGACGCTCCCTGCTTCTTTTCGGCGAGTGGACTCTTCATGGGCCTCAAACGAGATGAAAAGACCGAGGTTCTTTTCTCTCGCTGAATTGAATCTCCTGGTATGAATGGTCCCGCTAGTTTCGTTGACGCATTGAACGCCGGCTAAATTTCAGCTACTAAAAACGCCAGCGTCGAATTATATTGAGACAGTTTTAAACATCGATTAAACCAAGATTTCTAACTTACGGAAGAGAATAAGGAATTCAATTTTGTAAATTTTACTTTGGATTTGTGTTGTAAAATGTTATATGATTAGCAATTAAACGGTAGACTAAATCCCGCATTATCGCGGGACCGCCACTTAGTGTGTTAAGACAGAACAGCATCTGACTGTTGAGTAATCTATTCGAGGGAGGGGGTGTTGATTGCGATATCGAAATAGAATACTCGTTTTGCAGTGGAATTTGACCGTGCATAACCGTCACGAAATTCGTCGATTACTGTATCGGAAGAGATTACAGATTCGTCTACCATTTATAGACGATTTCCTGGTAGCCTAGATTAAAAGTTGCTTGAAACGAGTCGAATTGAAATTAGTAAGTTTCACTCGTTCTATGATTGTCGGGAGAAGGAAGGGGAAAATTAAATGAAGTGACTGATTGGTTGATGGGTTGAATTTAAAAAGATCGATCATAGAAAGGTGCAAGAATAGCCCTAAAATAAACAGGACTTCCACGTCAAAGAGTGACGTGTGTCAGGCTTCGTAACTATTTTAGAGAAGTTCACCATAAGGTTCGCTGTGTTGCATAGAAAATCTTGGTATTTTTAGGCCACGTAGAATCAATATTCAGTTCTGTTAACGTCAGACGATAGAACAATCGCAGTGCTCATTGTGTGACAACTGTAGATAAAGAAACATACATATTTATCGTATGATTAAGCGAAGTAATAATTAGAGAATCCCGGAGAGTATAATTGTTGAGCCATACAGAATAATTCGCATTATTATAAACAATTTGCGCAGTAAAAATTCGAGATCGTGTCTCCATCTGTTGGAGCGACGAGCAAGCTGAATCTAAGGGTTGAAACTACCTCCTGCTCGAGTTTACCCCAATCAATACTCCAGTTACTAGACATCGATTTATTTCCAGCTTCGTGTAACTCCAAAAACTATAACATTGCTAACGATCTAATGCCAACTATTTCCAAAAATCATCATCATCATCCAACCCTCCAAAACACCACCTATTCAACTCTGAAATACCTCATACTTCCTCACATACATAAACATCTCATACTTATAATTAAAAACCAAATCAAAATCTGTTCTCTCATTAGTTGCAAAGGGTGAAAGGCCATCGACATTCCATAACAAAGTGACGCAAATCAAGGACAACAGAATTATAAAATCAACAATATTAAATTTCGTATAATGCGTCGACACATGAAACATTCAAAATATCTTATACATATTCTCACATTCTTCCAGAGAATGTCTCACCAGAAAGTCGAGTGCATTTACTTAAAACCTCTCGACTGCAAAGGGTGAAAGGCCATCGACATTCCACAACAAAGTCCGCAAATCAAGGACATCCGTCGACGTGAACCTTCGAAAACATCCCTACGCCGGGTGGTGATCGGATGAATGAAAGAAAACGGTGCTAGGCGGGCGGTGGCCGCGCACGCATGCGTGTCGCCGATAACGTCGAGCGCAAGGGTTGCCGAAGGGAAGAGAGCAGGGCGTGGAAGATCGAAAGGTCGCGGAGCGAAACGACCCGAGGGGCCATCGATGGGAAGACGGCCGCGCGGACGCTTGGACTGGTTCTCGCGATCAGTCTGCGCCGAGGAACGCCGTAACGTCGCCGTGCAACGCGTCCTCCCGCGAGGACCTCGCCGCAGGCTATCATCTCGTGCAGACGCGAGAGCGTTTCGTGCATCGACGGAGCCGGCAGCGAGCGGTGGTGGGGTTCCGCTCGTGGTAGGGTGCCGGACCAGCCAGGTGAGAGCCGCGGTGGTAGGAGAAGGAACGGGTTGCAGCAGCGGAAAGGACGCGCAAGATGTCGGGCGGCAAGGATGTCGGAGGACTGTCTGACGACGCTCGGATCGACATCGAGAAACCCTACTGGGATCAGAACACGTACCGCGGCAGAGCGTTGCACTTTCTGAACGTCACCAACCCGCTGAACCTATTCGCCAGCGGCCAGCAGCTCGAGCAGGCGCGACAAGTCGTCAGCAAGTACAGGTATTCAAGCGGATGGGTACAGTGACGTTTCCAAGTGCTACGGATGTTTCACGGGATTAGAGGTTTTTCTTGCTGTTAGTCTAGCTCGGTCGGTTGGGAAGGTTCCTTCGCGAGTTCCGGATTTGATGTTTCAACGAGACGATTAAGGGACTTTAGGGGTTGATGTTGCTTATCCCTTTGCACTCGGAAGTTTCTCGCTAGAAATGATTAACACTTTTCGACGAGAGGAAAACGATATTCCTTGAAACTCGAAAGGAAGTCACAAGTATATTGAGGAACAAAGCTATTTTATTCGAATATTTCACGTATCAAGGCGTTATATAAAGTTCAACATTATCAGACTTTATAGTTTTATCGTGTCAATTCTCGAGTCTCTCTTGGGTATGAGATTGAGTCAATGTTTTCCTAGAGATTCATTTTGCATAAATTATGCCACTGGCAGCATGAAGTGTCTAAACGAGTATTGCTTAAGTTGTTTGACAACTTCCTAGCTTCTTAGTGTGGTTAATTAATTACGACTGGATTGTAAATCTTTGTGCAGGTTTAAGACAATTATACAAATAATTAAACAATTATATAAATAACAGTGGAATAGAAACTTAATGTAACTATTATTTCACTTTCAATTTTTCGGAGCTCTTAAATTCATGAGATGCAGGTTTCTATCGAACCGTTGAAATACTTGTGGAGGATGCTGTACCATTTCTCTACCTGAGCCGGTCGAGTTCATTTACCGGGATCCTTTCATTGATCCAGGAAAGGTAGCAACTTGCAGCAGCTGGGCATCTCGGAGGAAGAACTATGGAAGTGCAAGTATCTGTACGACAGCGCTTTCCACCCCGACACAGGGGAAAAAATGCTGCTGATCGGACGCATGAGCGCCCAGGTGCCCATGAACATGATGATAACCGGATGCATGCTGACATTTTACAAGTACGTATACAATAAGACGACTCCGATGACAATCGTCACTCGCCGCCTGAATTCGCTCGAAGGAGCGCGTTATCGCGCGGCGACCTTGAACCGACGAACAGCTGATACGATAAAAGCAGCCGGGACCTTTCACCCCGTTCAGTTTCAAAATCGTGTCACGCGCGAGCACCTAATTAAAGCGTCACCGAGACAGTTTAATACCTCTTCTAAGATCAATAACCTACTAGAAATTTCCTAATAATTTCACTGACTTCTAACACTAAACTCCTTCCAGATTACTATTAAAACTAGAAACAATTACTCCAAACGTGATCGTTTAAAAATTGTTTAAATATTCTCACAATAAACACTAATATTTTCCTATCGCAAGAAACTTATATACAACAAAATATCTCAGAATCCAAAAATGTCCACGAATACGTTACAGTCGAAGACTCGTACACTCATCGATCACGTTTCCGAAGCCGACAGGCAACGCGAAACGCACACTAAGAATCCGATTACCTCGATTCAATGTTCAATCGATATGCGTCCCAGTCGTGCCAAACATTCTCGCGTGCGCAGAGGTCGGCCGGAGACCGCGAGGTGTGATTGTTGTTCGTAGGAACACGATCGGCGGCCTGATCGAGACCAATGGTTCATTTATAATTCTTCAGGACAACGGCCCACGTGATCACGTGGCAGTGGGTTAACCAGTCGTTCAACGCGATAGTGAACTACACGAACCGCAGCGGTTCCAGCCCGACACCGATGAACACGCTTCTGCAAAGCTACGCGGCGGCGACCGGCGGCGCGGTGTTGGCCGCCCTCAGCCTGAATCGACTTTTCCGTAACGCGCCACCCTTGATAGGCCGGCTGGTCCCGTTGACAGCGGTGGCCGCGGCCAATTGCGTCAATATACCGCTCATGAGGATGTCCGAGCTGCAGAACGGCATCGAGCTGCAGACCGAGGACGGCAGGAAAGTCGGCAACAGCAAACGAGCTGCTTACAAGGCTATCATGGCTGTCACCCTTTCGCGGATCCTGATGGCCTCGCCGAGCATGAGTACGGGTCGATTTTATTTTAGCTCTGACTGTTGTTCGATCGGTCCTCCTGGTTGACTGACCGGTAATCGACGTGGCCTCGAGATAACCCCTCAATTTTTTGCAATTTTTTCGGTTAAACTCTTCCACAATTTAGCTGGTGGGATATATTCGAAGCCACTTCGAAGAGTTGTTACTAATAGTAGAGCGTTTCTTATGCCAAACATTGATAGTGGATTAAGGAATTGAGATTTTCTGAACAACCAAGCAAATCGATTTCCAAATTCGTCTATGGGAACTCTAATACGGCTGCTAAGATTTCAATTATGATTCAGTTTGGGTATTAATTCCTCAGAGGAGCGATCTTTTAAATAATTGATTTGTACTGTACTGAAATTACAAACAAGTTCAGTGAATCGTGAGAAGGTCCAAGGTCGATGCACCGAATGGAATCGAAGCGACTTAATGACCGGTCGAACAAGCAAAAGTCCCTTCGGTGTTAAGTATTCTCGACGATCGATGCTAATCAATGCACATTTAATTGCCCCTCGGTTGCAGTACTGGCGCCCATAGTAATGAACTTCATGGATCGACGGCAGCTGTTACGCAACGCACGTTGGGCCGCGGTGCCCATACAGGTAGCGATTTGCTGCGTGTGCCTGACGTTCGCGACGCCGCTGTGCTGCGCGCTGTTCGTCCAACGGGTGCCGATCTTGGTGGACGATTTGGAGCCGGAAGTACGGGACCAGATACACCTGAGCGATCCCAGCGTGCGCACGGTGTACTACAACAAGGGTCTTTGAACGACTGGAAGGACTGAACGTAACGAGAACACGTCAACGACGGAAGCCACCGCGACGTTGTTTGCTCGCGGAGCCCACGGGTGCTACGGAATCGGCAGCGACATAACGCAGTGATCAACGTACTCCGAGAAGGGAAGGCATCGACGTTCCCTTTACGGGACAGTCGACGATCTAGGGATTGTTATCCAGGAACGAACGACGAAGACAATAAAGATAACAGTACAATAAAGGAACCATTTATTCTACATGCGTTCGCGTTTGTCTTCGCTAGTTCAGCTCCGAATTATTCAAAAGAAGTTTCTCCGATTGTTTTGGCGGGGCCGGAACACAAAGGACGTATTTGTTCTTCTTTTTCAGTTTCGGTCCAAACCTACCGGTTTTCTTTTTGAACAGACCGCTTCTAGGTCGATAGCCAAGCTCCCTCAATTTCTGAGCGCTACCAATTTTTATTGAACTGTGTTCAGTATTCGACAATCTGCCCACGGTTGCCATACATGCTTTGTTCAAGAGGAACAGTTTCTTGGTGGGCATTTTAAGAACGATAAGGTTGGGATCCTTCTCATCCCTTTTGACTATTACTGCGCTCGATCCTGCAGCGTGGATAAGGTTACCACCGATCCCTGGATATTTCTCCACGCAGTTAACTACTGTTCCAGCAGGCAGTGCTCCCAATGGATACGCATCTCCTTCGTTAGGTCTGACAGCGTTTCTAGGTATACCCATGTGAGTCCTGATTATATCACCCTCCTTCATGTTCTGTGTGGCAAGGATATACTTTAACTGCCGATCACTGCCAACCAGAGCTACAAAAGCTGTCCTACATCCGTCCTTAAATATGCGCAACACCTTCTCCTCCTTGGGTTTTTCGTTTAAGTCGGTCGGTCCCTCTCTTTTCCAATATATCCAATGGTATTTGTGCTTGATACCACCACCGTACCCCTTGACCACTACTCTTCCTGTTTTAGGGATAGAAGTAACACTCTTAATGCCTTATTATTAACTTAAGCTTACAATGTAGGATCGCTTGAAATCTTGATGGATTTAGGGCTTTAACGGACTTCTGATTTCATTGTGCAAAGTCTTCTATGCTTGAGTAATATTAGATCACAGCATTTGATTACTTGAACGTAGAGAAACACATTTTTCAAAGTTTCAGTTAACAATGGGGTACTTTCTTGCACTTTAAATTTAATTTGTTACTCGGAATTCCATAGGAATTAAATATTGCCTTACTATAAAGTTAATGAATAATTTAAATAACTTATCGATCGTAAATATTCATTCCAAGTCAACGCGCAAATTTAAATTAATTATTTCAATGCTACTACTCCCGGCGTATTTTAAATCGACCAACGAAACGCTCGTTTTGCCGCGCTGTGGCGCTCTCATCGACACAGAATGCTGCGTCGCGTGCACACTTCGGAGATGAAAATTGGACAGTTTACGAATTGAAATTAATATCAGTGCTGTGTCGGATGGTGAGCAATTTTATCAAGTATACGGAAATGGTTGGGAATCGATGAAAGACAAGAGGACAGAATACGTACCCGTTACAGGATCCCTGCCTGCTAAGTTTGTAACCTCCAAAGGCTTAATCGTATACTTATCCTCGAAATGAACAATTCTTCTGAAAGATTTACCGCCAACGCCTGGTTTAGGAAGTTTGATATACGTCCACTTATATCTTTTCGGCACATTGTAGGTCACTGCTGCGTTTACACCAAAGAAATCGACGATTTGATTAACACAAACACGACGGAACAATGACGCGGCAGACATTTTGATAAGGAGTGGTTCGACCGTTCTTACGAGTGTAACTAAAAGTATAAAATACTGCACTAATTATTATCGTACATCGCGACTGATTAGCGTAAGATCACTTGTTGCGTCTCTGTTAACCGGTGTTAGGTATTAACAATTAGGTACCCTGTTTTTAATTAATCTTTCACTGTTTACTGCTCAGCGGTAACAACGATCGAACAAACTGGCGGCGCCATCCGTGGCAAACTGTTCGATTGACCCGTTGGTACCGATTTCCCTCGCGAGAGGCCTCCACCTACTTCAAAGAAAGAAACAGTAATTACAAAATTAAAATTTTAAGAGTATTTCTTCTTACTAGAAGCTTAAGACAGTTTGAATCTAGTAAACTATAATTTTAAGTTCGTCTATTGGTAATTCTTTGTTTATAAATTAAACAACTAATTCTAAGTTATAATGTACTGCTTCAGTGTCAAATAATTAATTATAGTCTACGGTTTCAGTACTGTTTATTAACAGTGCTTTGTTGATCACTTTTCATTCATAATTTTCTGGAAATGTAGAACGTGTTTACAGGATGTAGCGCATTCTAGCAGCAAACTGGGTTACTAAGTATCACAGATAGCGCCACGTAGTCTATTTTAGATCAGTATTAAGCAAAGTAAATGACAGAAATTAAAAGGGTTTCGTGAATATATGTTAAACAATTTAACAAACTCGCAGAATAATTCTTCATTATTAATAAGAATCTATGAGCGTTTTAGTCTACATACACCGTAGGGTAGTGTGCCATTTTACTCAAAAACGAATCCAACGTCCACAAAACTACCCTTACCAAACTGACATTCATTAAAATTAACCCTTCAATGCGCGTTCTTTTTATTTCAGAACCTACAGTTGGAAAGCAGTTTGAATCTCGAAATCGATCACAGATGTCCTCGAACATATCTTGGCGATCTTTAAAGTAGCTCGCGTTTGATAGTGCTCCACTTAGTATCGTTTTCAAGTCTCGCGCAGCGTTTTCTAAGCGAGCCAGTATCATCGGGCGCGTTGGGAGCGGCTCAACGTCGAGGAGACCGATATTCTCACCGATCAACGGGACCAACGGTCGTTTCAATCGCCAGAACAGAATGCTCAAAGGCTGAAGCAATGTGAGAATCGAAGAATTCGTAAAATCGGACATCGGGAAACGGATGGCAAATGTGGAACGCGGGGAACGGGCGGCGCGAAACTCGTCAGGTACGTTGCCGGCGTCCATTATATTTATGCGAAAGATAAAACGCCGTTATCGGAAATCAATAAATTATTTTCCGTGCTGACGAGCAATGCACCGTCGTTTCACGCTAAATTTTCGCCGGCGCATAAATATAAAATGCATTATCACGCGCGCGCATCAAATCCATCCCCCCTGCAGCCCATCCGTCGCGCGAAAAATGCGTGGCGAGCCGTTAAACAACGGTGCGGATAAAATGGAACTTGGGCGGCTGCTTGCCGGAAGTTGCAGCATCAATCTCGCGGGCTGCAGTCGTTGTACGAGAAATCTTGTAACCAGACAATTTCAGTATAATCCTCCCTGGTTTGCGCGTATTAATTCACTGCGAAAGACGTTACTGTCGGATTCAATTATTCGACGCAATAGCTACTAAAATGTTTCACTCTATCTTCTCTGCTTGATTATTACTCAAATTAGGGTAGCATCTTTACAAAAGTAGCCCCGCAATTCGTGAAACGCGCGAGGCACTTTCACGGATTGATGGTTCCGCCGTTAACCCTTGGGCGGAGATAGAGTTAATGCATTACACTCTGCCGGATCCACATTAGTGCGAAGTAACGCCCGAATAATTAACGGCGCTTTCATTACCGCGTAGAAAATGAAAAGGAAAGTACAATAGTAGCTTCCGGCTAGAAACGCGGATGAACGAGCAGCCACTGTGACGGCGCTCAGCACTTAAGGGCCTAATTAAATCTCCGTAACTTCCGCGTTTATCTTGTTAAACGCCGCTGCGCGACACGGTTAATAATCTCCCGATAAAACTTCTCGTTCTGTCGTTCGATCGACTCAGCCGTTCGAACCGATACGCTCGACGTTCAGCGGCGCTATCGGCGAGTCGCCGGCTATCGTTGCCCGTTAAACGCGAAATTCCTCGAAATCGCTTAACACGATCCAGCGAAGTGTCGCCGGAAACGAAGAAGGTCGCGGCACTCCGCGTAGCATCCGGTTCCTCCGGATCACGCGAGCTAGAGAAAGACCGAGGCGGGGACCGAAGGTTGGCAGGGTGCGGATGACGATGAGGCACGCAGCCGAGGGGGGTGTGGAACGCTTAATTGGCCTGGGGTAATTATTTTATTAAGTGAGAAGATGGCGGATGGAATGCTAAGAGAGAGGAGCATGCTGGTGCGGTCTGCCGGGTAGGCCGGCGGTCGGGCGCGGGTGGGGGAAGAGGGCGGAAGGAGGGGCGAACAGTGGCGGCGGTAGCGGCGGCAGGTGACGGTGTGGAGAGCGTTTAAAATACCTACGTACCGCGGACGTGAATACCGCGTACTCGGTTTCGCCGTGTATGAGGTGTGCGCGGGAGGGCGTGAGGGACGTTGCCAGCGAGGAGGGGTGCGGAGGGTGAGCGTGGTCGCAACTTTCCAGCGTGTTCGCGTCGCACTCGTGTGCACGCGTGATTCTCTCTCGTCGCCGGGTATGTGTGCACGCGTTCGTTTGCGATCGCCGTTCCCACGAGCGAGAGGGATGAAGAAGCTCGCGGAGAGGGCATCTAGACGGGGGAAAGAGGAACGGAGAGGAACGGACGCGGGGGAGAGAGAAAGGCGAAAGGAAGGGAGAGAAGGCTGCTTGCGCGCGCGTTCAACGTTTCTCTGTTGGTCGCGAAGGAGGAACATCTATTACCCGGTACATAGGCCAGAGAGGCAGGGGGTGGAATCGTCGAGGGAGGGGTGCGGGCAAGAGTAGTCGAGCGGCAAATTGTCCGCCATCTTACCCACCTTATACCTTATCTCAC